TGCCTCAGTACTACATGGAAGCTCCTGTCAGGCATCATATCGGCTAAGATGAACAGGCACATGGGTCAATACATGAGCGGGACACAGAAAGGAATTGGCAAGAATACCAGAGGCGCAAAACACCAGCTACTGGTAGACAGAACAATCAGCCGAGACTGCAAGACCAGACTGACCAACCTGTGCACTGCCTGGATTGATTACAAGAAGGCCTATGACTCAATGCCCCACAGCTGGATACTGGAATGCCTAGAATTGTACAAGATCAATGGGACCCTAAGAGCCTTCATCAGGAACTCAATGGGGATGTGGCGTACAACACTAGAGGCCAACTCCAAGCCCATAGCACAAGTCACCATCAAGTGCGGGATCTACCAAGGAGATGCTCTGTCCCCACTGCTGTTCTGCATAGGCCTGAACCCCCTCAGTGAGATCATTAACAAGACTGGCTACGGATACCGACTACGGAACGGAGCAGTTGTCAGCCACCTCCTGTACATGGATGACATCAAGCTGTATGCCAAGAGTGAACGAGACATCGATTCACTGATCCACACTACCAGGCTATACAGCAATGACATTGGAATGTCGTTCGGACTGGAGAAGTGTAGTCGGATGGTAACAAAGAGAGGGAAGGTAGTCAGAACTGAGGGGATTGAACTACCAGAAGGCAACATTGCAGACATAGAGGACAGTTACAAGTACTTGGGGATCCCGCAGACGAATGGGAACCATGAAGAGGCCGCTAGAAAAGCTGCAACCACCAAGTACCTGCAGAGGGTCAGGCAAGTCCTGAGGAGTCAGCTGAATGGTAAGAACAAGATCCGGGCCATCAACACGTACGCCCTGCCTGTGATCAGGTACCCTGCTGGGGTAATAGGCTGGCCAAAGGAGGAGATAGAAGCCACTGACATAAAGACAAGAAAGCTCCTTACCATGCATGGAGGGTTTCACCCCAAGTCCAGCACCCTGAGGCTGTACGCTAAGCGGAAGGAAGGGGGCCGGGGACTGGTGAGTGTCAGCACCACAGTCCAGGATGAGACAACGAACATCCAAGAATACATTGGGAAGATGGCCCCAACTGCCCGAGTGCTCAGTGAATACCTCAGGCAGCAGAAACCCAAGAAAGAGGAGGGAGACGAGGAACCATCATGGAAGGACAGGCCCCTGCACGGTATGTACCACCGGCAGATAGAGGAGGTGGCTGATATCCAGAAATCCTACCAGTGGCTGGACAAAGCTGGACTGAAAGACAGCACAGAGGCACTAATCATGGCAGCACAAGAACAAGCTCTGAGCACAAGATCCATAGAGGCTGGGGTCTATCACACCAGGCAAGACCCCAGGTGCAGGCTGTGTAAAGATGCCCCAGAGACAATCCAGCACATAACAGCAGGGTGCAAGATGCTAGCAGGCAAGGCATACATGGAACGCCATAACCAAGTGGCCGGCATAGTGTACAGGAACATCTGTGCCGAGTATAACCTGGAAGTCCCGAGGTCAAAATGGGAGATGCCCCCAAGGGTGGTGGAGAATGACCGAGCTAAGATCCTGTGGGACTTCCAGATACAGACGGACAAAATGGTGGTGGCTAACCAACCGGACATAGTGGTGGTAGACAAACAGAAGAAGACGGCCGTAGTGATCGATGTAGCGGTTCCGAATGACAGCAATATCAGGAAGAAGGAACACGAGAAGCTGGAGAAATACCAAGGGCTCAGAGAAGAGCTCGAGAGGATGTGGAGGGTGAAGGTAACGGTGGTCCCCGTGGTAATCGGAGCACTAGGTGCGGTGACTCCCAAGCTAGGCGAGTGGCTCCAGCAGATCCCAGGAACAACATCGGAGATCTCTGTCCAGAAGAGCGCAGTCCTGGGAACAGCTAAGATACTGCGCAGGACCCTCAAGCTCCCAGGCCCCTGGTAGAGGACCCGAGCTTGAAGGATAAACCGCCCGCAGGGGCGTGCTGGGTGTTTTTTTTTTTTTTTTATATACATACATATATATATATATATATATATATATATATATATATATATATATATATATATATACATATACATATATATATATATATATATATATATATATCTCCAAATATATCTCCGTGTATATATATACACATATATACACATACATATATATATATACACATACATATATATATACACATATATATATATATATATATATATACACACATATATACACATATACACACACATATATATATATATATATATATATATATATATATATATAATTAAAAAATGTCAGAAGGTTGAAGAAAAACAAGCACTTTCTGATAATTATTTCATGCTTCAGGCTTAAATATGAAACGGTAACAAAGTCTTTAACTTTTTCTTTAAAGAGAAGCATGTATGTAAGAAAGGATAAAAAAAAATCCCAACTATTTGCTGTTTATAATCATATTAAGTATTATGAACCCACCTGCTTAGTTTTCTGGTATTAAAGTGATGCCAGCATAATTCACTCATATCTTAAGGTTTAAATTAAATTTAATTAGAGTTTGGAGTTTTAGAAGTTAAACAGTTGTGTCCACAGTTGCATTTATTGCATTTCATTTATTTTGTTGTATTGTTTTCATAATAAATAAATTTTCCTGCTGCTTATTAAACTTCCAAATTTCATCTGAATGCTTCTGGTTAATACCATAAAACATCAGTATGGGTGAAGTTATGCTACTTATTGGCTTTGTATGTAAAATTTCAGAGGTGAAGATCCAGTTGTGTCCTGGGCAGACAACAGCACAGCATCTTTGAAGTAGATGTACTCAAAAATGTTTATTAGTTTTAAAAAGTTTTCAAAAACTGGTATCAACAAGCACTTCCCCTTATAAAAGCACTTGATAAAATGCAAAACAACAACCACAACAAAAAGAAAATATTTGTATTAAAAACCACAGCAACTTAACACAGTGGAGGGCGGCTCTACAGCTCCTAGCCACTTACAAGAGGAAGGGTAAACTCTTCATAAAGAAACATCAGTGCTAACAAACACACAGACCCACAATGGAGTTAAACATCGAAACTGAGAGAAATCAGAGGTCAAAAAAAGTACTCAAAATAATTAGATGTTACAATGATACAATCAGATTTTAAAGAAGTTAAAAATACAGTATTCTGTATAAAATCACCAGATTAAATCCTGACATTAATTTAGTTCATTCAAAATGTTTGGTTTTTTTTGTCACAGAGGGACAACTTTCAAGCTCATGAAGGGAAGTACAATTGCACAATTGCGCACCATATATTAAGGAACAGTGCCGTTTCCACATTTTAAAACAAGTGCAAACATTTTCTGGCGTGAATTCCTGTCAAAATCCAGTTCTGCGAGGTTTTAGTGATTCTTCAATTTCTCATTATTCACTGCCAAATTTCGGAAAAGTCTTGATAATGCACGTGATACGTGGTAACACACTATGACACTTAAAGCGTATGCTACAAAACATCATAACAGTGCAAGTCAGGTTATTGTGAACACACACGCACGCACACAAACAAACAATTATATGGTTTCCAAGAGTACATATCCTGTACAAATAGAACAATGTAAAATAATAAATAGTAATAAAACAAACCAAAGAGCACCGGACACCTGGCCACACCCCCAATCTGTACAACAAATGAAGTGAGTGTGACCAACAATACACGGTCAAGAGATCTACTGCTAACACAGAGACACACACGGTTTAGCGAAACAACTGTGATGCTGCCGTGAAAACATCAAACCTGTTGGAAGGGTGCGGGTTACAAAAGCATCAACAACAGTAAACAAAGGAACCCTCAGCATTTACAGATTTTCACCTTTCCTCTGAATACATTTGTTACAGGCGTCATCAAGCACTTTATTGTCAGAGAGCCCACCACGTTGGAGGCTATGTTACACCCGTGGCCACGGTGCAGCTTACATCTTTGGCATAAGGACATAAGGCTCAGAAACCCAAAGCCCTCAGACGCAGCTTAGAGTCAGCGGCTGCACGACTTCTTTACCCGATGCTCGACGTCAGCTCGACTTCCACATTTGATCGGCAGCTGTTTTTCATTTGAACCTCAGGATTCAGAGTAAAATTGTTCCACACAAATCAAACAGTGTTTTCCCCCCTTTATAAAGCACAAGGATTATAGATTGTCAGTGCATTAGAATAAGTGTAATATACATGCTCATTAGGCTCCTCTCACTTTCCATGTCTTCCTTTTTAGTGATCTGCACGCGATAAATAATACATTTAAATAGTGATAAAAAGCTCTCGGTTCATTTTTCAAGTGCAAAAGAAGACCCCGTCAGAGAGGTTTGGTTTAATTCTTAGGTAAGTGATTTTATCATAAATGTCCTGTAAGGGTTAAGCGGTCGAGCCCTCGTCTTTCACTGCTCAAAGGGCTGCAACACAGATCCCATAAAATGGTCTGTGTGACACACCTACATGTAACCATACAAAGACTGATAGCATAATTAAAGCTGATCAGCAAATCATCTTTCTTGGTTTAATATAGTGATTCTCAACCTATGGGGCATGGCCCCCTGGTGGGACACAGACTCTTTGCCGCAGAGTGGTGTGGATGCTGATTTAAATTCTTTTTAATTCATTTTTTGTGTTGTTGCTGTTGATAAAGATCGATAAAATTTGAAGGTGAGAATTATTTTGGTGGCGGGGCCATGCCGGTTTGAGAACAGCTGGTTTAATATTTGATGTTTTTGTCTGTTTTCTTTTATTGCATGTAAATTTTGCATACGCTTTAAAGAGATTGATTAAGATTTGAACATCTTTATAATCACAATTACAGTCCTGAGAAAAACTAAGTGCACCCTGTGATTCAGTAGCTTGAAGAACAACTTTTAGCAGCAATGACATAGAAGTAATAGTTTTCTGTATGACTTCCTCAGCTCTCACATTACCGTGGAGAGATTTTGGCCCACTCTTCTTTACAGCATTGCATTCATGCACAGCTCTCTTAAGGTCCCCCCAAAGCAGGCTGAGGTCTGGACTTTGATATTGCAACACCTTCATTCTTTTTCACTTTCAGCCATTCTAATGATACATTTCATTTTGTTGTGTTTGGGGTGATTTATCTCCTACAGTACATAACCTAATTTAGGCCAAGCTTGACTCTTGACCTGTTTGGTTTTGACTTTGGTGTCATCTGTGGTTTGTTCAGATGCTGCTTGGCAAACCTAAAGCAAACCTTGCTGCCATGTTTGTTTCAGAGGGAAGAGATATTCTCTTGGGATTCCTTCGTGCCATATTTGTCTTGTAATTCTATTTTCATGAAATTTAACCTTTAACATACTAGCTCAAGCCTGTAGAGCTGAGGCATTTCTACAGTCGGGCCTTGTTGGGACGTTAACATTTGGAAAGATTGTGTCATTGTGTTAGCTCACACCTGAACGCACCAGACCACCAAACTACCAAAACTGCTGCTTTTTTAAAGGTGCTCACCTATGATAACAAGGGTGAACTTAGTTATTCACATGACTGTATACAAGACCTATTTTAAATGCAACTTAAAAGAGGACTAATAATATTTGTATTATTATTTAATCTACATGAAGGGGTTTGAAGAGAGGTTAACGTCGCTCTTCACACTCATCAGCTGATTAACAGAGACTCAAAGTCTATTTAAAATAAACTTTAGAAACTTTAGACAGTATAGACTTATATTGCTGAATTTTACAGTTCAAAGTTTTACCGAATACCATTTATATATTTCACCAAAATGAGTCAGTAAAGGCCAGTGCTGTGTTTGGGAAGAGATACATATATTTATATTGGTATATTTATATATTAAGATTATGAGTACATTATATGGATTTACATGGATGAATTTGATTCTGTGTATTTGTGAATACATAATAATTTAATGTATGTGTGTACACGTCACATATCTTAATGTTAAATTCAAAACCTTTTAAGCGCTTTTTTTCTTTAAGTAAAGCTACACAACAAACACATATTGTTAGTTTAGGATTAAATATCATTAGTTTTTTTGCACCTAATTTAGCCTGCAGTTCATACACGGTGACAGAAATAAGTAGCGTTGCATAAGGTTTATTCACACTGATCCACGGCTCTGTTATTGATCTGACTGTTCAATAAAATTAGCTGTTTGAAAACTAGCTTTTTTCTGTGTGTGTTTTCTTGTTGACAATTCTCTTGATCAAACAAAGTGAGGCAATATTCTCTCATTAAAGGGAAATGACCAGCATTTTCAGTGAGTGTTGCAGCATTAGCTCAGTTTTTAGCCTGGCACTTAATCTGGACAGACCTCATTGTATCCAGTGTTGCATTATAAATGCCTGAAAATAAATAAAACAAACATCAACCGCAGATTAACATGTTCAACATTACTATAAAAAGCTCTGCTCTCAGCCCATCAGCCCAACAGTTGGGTGATCTTTGCTCTCCAACCAGTCGAGACCACCTGAATGAGCCGCTTCGCTGGTGATTTGCTGAAACAGCGAATCGTCCACCAGCTCCTCTGGGGCGGCGTGCTGATACTGGCCTTGCTGCTGGCTGGGGTCGAACAGCAGGTTTGTGTCCAATGCGTTAAGGTCACTGATGCTACTGGGAAGCTCCGATGTCATTCTGATTTCACCGGGGAAATCGGCCCCGCCTGCTGTTAGCTCTGACACCTGTTCCATGAGCTGATTGCCAGCAGCGAGGAGGTCTTGAGAGGTGCTGAAGTCTAACTGCTGGTGTTGCTGCTGCTGTGAGTTCAAAGCTGACATGATGGACTGCTGCTGATGCTGCTCTCCACCGGCTGCTTGTATTTGGCCTTGACCTGCCGAGAGAATCATTTGTTCACCGATAGAGTTTTCCATGAGGTAATTGGGCCTCTGCAGGTTGCAGGTACTGCTGGAGTCGGAGGTCATCAGGCTGTCAGTGCAGGAGAGGCTGGAGTTGGATTCGAGGATCTGGGTCAGGTTCATACGAGCGGTGTAGGTGGGAAGTAAATTATTGATTCCCACACCCCGCACACTATTCTCGTGATCTCCGTCTAGCTTGCTCAGGAGGACGCTGGCGATGCTTTTGGTGCTGCACTGCTGGCCCGGTGTGGGCGGGGCCTCGCTTTGCATCATGATGTTGAGCGGCACAGAGCGGCTCCTCTGGGCCATGCTGTTCACGCCGAGGTTTGTCTGCCTGTTTGCGAAGATGTTCAACACCTCAGCCGTCACAGGAGAATTAAAGGGAGACACTACCGATCGGGAGGCATTGGAAAGGTTGGTTCCTGCTCCTGTGCCGCTGAAGTTCCTCTGATGTACAGCGGGACTCACGCTGCGACACCTAAAATTTGCAGCAGATGTGTTGGCAGTTTTATTATCCAGAGGGGCAGGCACTGCAAAACCCTCCTGTTTGGCCATGCTCGCTACCTGCTGCTGCACGGGCGAGATGGGAGTCAAGCGGCCGAAATGGCTGTCGTGGTGCCGCGCGTGAGGAACGGCGAAGGCGTGAGGTTTTTGAAAATGGTCGTCTATCAGGCTGTGATAGCCGGGCAGGATTTCCATTCCGCTGTTGGATCTGCTGGTGGTCCCGCCGCTGCTATTGTAACTGTTATTCATCCACTCCAGCCTGGTCTTGTCTGGATGGGTGGCCATCGGTCTCTGCATCGGTTTCACGGGGCTGCTGGAGATGGTGCTGCCGTCATGGAAACCAGTGATGCTGGAGTTAATGGGTGTGAACGCGAACGGGTTTCTGCACTCTACTGGACTGGGAGGAACATTGCTGCTGCAGTTGGAGTGTGGCGTCCCAACCGGGGTGTGGCGACTGCTTCCGAGCGAGCTGTCCACCGGGGTCGTGGAGGCGATGTGGGAGCAGGGGCTTTCTCCTGTCAGTCCCTGGGCTCCTCCCATCATTTCCGACATGGGTGTAGGTGTCGGCGTTTGAATTGTTTGGATTGGGTTACTGTTGTTGTTCGCAGCATGATAGAAAGCCATGTTCTTATTAGCGGACGTCATGTTGTTTGGCATCGCAACCTGCTGGCCCTGCAGCGTGACAGAATCTCCAAACTGCTGCAGGTTATTAAGTTTCATCTGCTCCTCCATCTGCACCAACTCCTCCACTATGCTGTCCTGAGTCACATCATCATCAAAGCAAAAGTAATCTGTCATGTCTGTCTGCATGGGCAGTTGACCGGATGATGAAGCGTGATTCAAAAACTCTAAGGTTTCAGTAGCAGGACTGGACTGAGAGCAGGGCTGCTGCCGGACTCCTTCCAGGCTTGAGTTTGAACCCACACCTGAATGCTTTGGAAAACTGGGATTATCGGGCACAGCATGTGCGTCAACTGCTGCGTGCCCCTGATGTTGCTGTATTAATGCGTGACTGACTGAAGTGCCAGTTTCCATAACGGCAGAAATGTTTTTCCTCTGCAATGAACTATGTGTTTTGGCAACAGAGTAAAAGCCACTCGCTCTGAAAGAAGGAGAAGTGCCAAGTGCGTGGACTTGAGTGGTCATTTTCACTTCTACTTCCCTGGTGGCTGGTGCACTTTCAGGTCTAGCTGGAGCGCCTGGCCTGGATACATTACCCGTCATGTTTCTGATACCATACCCTGGACCAGCAGCACCCTCTACTGGCTGCTGGGGTATAAAAACCCTTTTGATTGGTGAAAGGTCTGGACTGAGCCCTGAACGTTTTCTGAGGCTCTTAGTGGACAAGAAGCCTTGCTTTGTTTGGTTGTTTTCCCCACATGAAGATGTTCTGCTGGTGTTCAGTAGAGACACGGTGCTGGTATTCTGAGTGGAGGGATTTAAGTGCAAAGTGCTTGTATTTTTAGCGCTATTATTGCCGCTGTCGCCTGTGGCCACAGTATTAGTGCTTGAGGAGGACTCTCTGCTGCATTTATTGCTGGACGTTTCCTCGAGACCCAAGAAGCCTCTAGTTTGCGGTATGGGCACACTGGCGGCCCTCTGTACAGCCCCTTTGACTCTATTGGTCATTGCCACTTGTGGCAAAACTTGACTGCCCAAATTTTGCATTTGGCTGCTTTCATGTATAGCTTCAACTTCCATTTCAACATCGATGCTTGGAGTGTTAGAAGTCTGCCCTTGCCTGGCCACCGGGGCCAAAATGGGGACCGTTGAGGAACTCCTCGCGCTCTGACTGGAGCTGACGTCTTCTGTAGCTTTAAAGTTGATGTCTGCAGATGCCGGCCGCAGCACGTTTGTGAAGGATGTGGCAGTTTCACTGCTGTTGGGTGCGAGCGATATGGCTGCCATTTTGACCAGACTGACTGGGCTGACATGACATGGCGTTACAACAGTCTTAATGGGGCTGTTAGCGATGATCATGGTGGAGGGCGAGCGCAAAGCGATGGCAGTGGTGGCTGAAGGTTTAGGGAGGATTTGAGCGTAGCGCTGCCGAGCTGCGCGCTCCCCCGCTGGATTGGACAGAATATTTTGGGGGTGTTTGGGGCTCTGCTTCACTCCCTGAACTGGCTGGGTCACCATCTGGATGTTAATGGGCAGTACTTTGCTCTCCACTGTTCCCACTGGACTCGGGGACATCAGCGGCCTACTCCTCTGAACCTGCAGGGGGAAAAAAGAGGAATCATGAAATCAAAGTTTAGATCCTGTCTTTGACAGAGAGAGATAGAGGGGGCTTTATGGTACCATTTTTTTTAATGATTCCTTTTCGGACTCCCTGCACGTCTGTATGAATATATCCTTCGTCTCTTTTTTCTTCAGGCTTTATTTCAACGGATATTTTTACTGTGTTTTTACCTCGCATGTTTGTTGTCTTCTCCCCTGTCATTGCCTGACGAGTTCACCTTGTGCCTTATTACTTTTCTCCTTGGTGTTACTGTTTTTGATAGTTTTGACACCTTTTTGATTTTAACTATGGTTATTTTGTTTTACATTGCCACTTCAGTCCACTTAAGAAACAGCTGGAATTACAGCTATCCATGCAGTTATGTTGTAGATATTTTGTTTATTGGTAAAAACAACTATTTAATCCCAAGTGTTTGATTTTATATTGCATTAAATATATAAAGCAGCCTTGGTGACATTAAAAGGGATACAAAAATGTGTTGGAATATCTACTGATGAATTCTGTGGACTATCATTTCTGGCTTATCTCTTCTTCAGACTACACAAAATAATAAGATCAGAAATGTGATGTGACCTCAGATAAATGAAAGTTTGACTATTATATTGATGAAAAGAAAATTCAGTGATCTATAAGAATGTAAATCAACAGTAACTGCAGCAACGTGTTGTAGCTAATTAATAGATTAGAAAAGGGTATATTTTTTATCTAATGTGGGTTCATTGTGTTCTAAACATTCATGACGTGCAGTTAATCTTTCCTTCAGTGGGGAAAGAAATGACACATGATGGTGTGATCCAGCTCTCTCTCTCACCGTGATCGGGCTTGGCACGGCAGCAACCACGATGCCTATAGTTGGTTGAGGCGACGGAGGGGTGGGACTACCACAAGACACACCGTCGTCTGCCTTCCTAATCTGTCCCTCTCCGGGTAGAGGAGATGTCAGCTTTTGTTCCTGTTGCTTTCTCTGGATCTTCCTCTGGAGCTGCTGCTTTGCGTCGACAGACGGAGAGGACAGCATGGTCACATGAGGCTGGAAGGAGTGAGCGTCTGCAGCCGGGGCGAAGGCTGAGACGGTCTGTGAACCTTTCACCTCTGAAGAAAATCAAAAGAAATTTGTATTCAGTATACATCAAATGCTCCTACAAAAAGAATATATAACACTATGCAGGGGAACTTAGTACTGTACATCTTCAGTTATTGCAAAAACAATTACATTTGAGGTAGCAGAGTGTTTTGCAGCATGTTCCCTGATATATTCAGATGTAATTCTACTGGTTTCAAAAGGGAATTCCTTATTATTAAAACCTGGCAGCCACCAGCGCTACCCCAGCCTCCTAGTGGATGTACCAATGGTATAATTTTGAAAATCCAAGGTGATTTTCAGGAAAGTTGACCCCTGATCTTGACTTTGAGTTCAAGATCACTGAGATTCAAACTCATCTGAGACTTTTAGTAGATGCACCTATTTCTCTTACTCCTTAGTATTTGTGGGTTTCTGTATTGTGTATCAGGTTGTTAGTCACTCTGTGTTGAGCATTTGGATTCACAGCTTTTAGTTGTTGTATTTTGTATTTAAGTTTCTGTCAGTGCAAGTGAAATGTTCATATTTTCTTGTTTCCGTTTTTTTCTTATTTTCAAGAAATATAACATCCAATTTCACTGCTGTGCAGATTACACTCAGCTCTACTACAGCTCTCCAAATCCACAGCTACTCTCCCACCCATATCTATTTCTGATTGTTTAAGTGAAATCAAGGTCTGGTTTGCTCACAACTTTCTTAAACTTAATGGCACTAAAACTGAATAGGCACCAAATCAAAACTTTAAACCAGATGTCTTTCATTATCCATTGATAACTCTGTTGTCACACCTTCCCCTCAGGTTAAGAGTCTTGATGTCATACTCGACAGCACTCTTTCCTTCACAACACATAAATAATATCACTCGGTCTTCCTGTTTTCATCTTTCAATAACCGCCTTTGTCCTTCACTCACTCCGAACTATTCAAAACTCTATTCAAAATTGCATCATGATTTTTACCTTGTTTAGCTTTTATACTTTCATGCTTGTTTTTTCCATGTTTACCTTGTGTTTTTATTTATTTACTTATTTTTTGTAATATTGTAAGGTGACCTTGAGGGTCTTTAAAGGCACCTATAAATAAAATGCATTATTATTATTATTATTATTCCATTCATTCATTCGCTTCCGCTTATCCTTTTCAGGGCGCTGGAGCCTATCCCAGCTGTCATAGGGCGAGAGGCGGGGTACACCCTGGACAGGCTGCCAGTCTGTCGCAGGGCCAACACACAGGGACAGACAACCATTCGCACTCACATTCACTCCTGCATTCTATTATTATTATTATCATCATCATTATTTTCATTATTATCCATCTGACTAACTCTGTTTCTAGTCTTTTGTTCTTTAGTTTCGTATTCTGGTTTTCTTTTGGGTTTAGGTTATTATAAATCGGATTCCTCGTATTTTTACTTTAGTTTGGTCTTTGTAGTGTGTTCTTGCATCTTGTTAAGGCTTTGTCTTTGTTTTGTGATTCCCCTTTTAGTAGCTTCCTGTTTCATTTGTGCTTTCCCATCACTTTTACTTCCTTTGTCTTAATTAGCTTCAGCTATGTCTTGTTACCCTGGCGTTTCCCAGCCCCCTGATTACTTCACGTGTCTATTTAAAACCTGAAAAGGTTGCCTTAATTCTTTGTTGAGTCATACTTGCTTATGTGTTTACTGTATTTCTGTTTGGATTTATTCACTTATTTAACTTTTCCGTATGTGTACTTTGTGTTTTGCCTTAATAAAAGGTTGTTTTACGTTTCTCAGGTTTGACTTAGCAGTGTGCATTTGGGTCCCTTTCCTGTGCAACCCTGATATCATCACACAAAAAAGTCAATAGCTCATTAAAATGAAAAACAAGGACTAACAAAAGAAAAGTCCCCCTTGAGCTCCCACCTGACATCCACATTGCTCTGCATCTAGGAAGGGTTGCCAAGAAACTTATTCTTAAAACCTGGCAGTCTGCCTCTCCACCTGCCTTTGTACATGGGATTAAATCACAGAATCAAAGAACTGTGCAATCTCAGGGTAAATTAACAGGAGATGATGGGCCTTTATTTCAACCATCGCACATTACAGCAAGAGAACAGCAGTAGAGATTCCTGCTGTTCTCTTGGCTCAGTTATGCTTATATCCCACATGTTTCCTTTGCATCCTCACTGTACATTTCAGTGTCTGGGAGCTTCTTGTTGGTTCTTTGTTAAACAATTATTTTTACTTAAATCTCAACACTGAACCTTCCAGTTTATGAGGTATACAAATATATTGTGTAGTGGTTTAATAAGCCTAACAAGTGAAAAGCTGATCTACCAAAATAAAAATGCAGAACTACCTGCTGAAGTGAGCCCTAGTGAATAAAGGAGCAGCCGAAGGTAGCTGTTCAGTTTATGTTAAAATGATGTGACAATTCAGAGACATTATTATTTTGTTCTTTTTCTTTGCATTGATTCAATCACAAAATGCTCTTCATCAAAATTACATGTTTAAGTAATATATTATATATTGAACAGCTTAGATCTTTGCACACTTCTGTGGAAAATGCATATTGTGCTACGCTCCATTTGAAGTGGGAAGCCTGAAATCCCGAGACACCTCTGAATCTGTCTTCTTGAGCTTGTCACTGGTATGCAAGCTTCAGGGCAAAAATGATCGCCCATGAGTTTTATATACTGCTTCTGGTTTATAAAGAAAACCTATTTTAAGTAGTTTTACTGTAAATTGAGTATTTAACAAACACAAACATGTTTTTTTCTGAAATGATCACACAGTTGAACAAAAAGTTCTCTAATTTATTTTAAAGTAAAACTGAAGATTATAATCGCTGTAAAGATTTATTGCAAGGTTCGCAAGTTAGACTGCTTGATGTTCCAGAGCATAAGAGTCCAAGAACAACATTAATCTGGTGTAGAGACAGAACTTCAATAGACGGATAAAGCCATAGGTGCGTTAACAGCGAGCTGCCACCAGAAGTCACTCTTGACCTTTATGTTCTGCACTCTGGGAACATCAAGTTGTCAAGTGTCCTACCTGCTGCTGTGCCGGTCATTATGGTGAGAGCTGCCAAAGACTTGTTGCTGATGTAATGGCTGTCGATTAGGAAGCGAGCCAGGTCCTCCACAGCATCAAACTGGCGTTTGAGCACCTTTTGAGCCCACTCACACACAAGATCACAGGCTGCAAACCGCACCTCTTCCTTAATACTGCTCAGCTGGCCCGGGGAGTCGAGCACATCACACTGGGGCTGCAAACAATTGACATTTAGTTTCATATATAGACACATATATATGGAAAAAAAGCTATATTCCAAAGACATAATATTAATATCAATATGAAAATAAGTGTAAATAAATGTGCTTACTCCATCTCCTGTTTTATGGAGGTCCAGAGTTGGTAAAGACGGCATCTGAACAAATGGTCTCTTCCTTAGGCCACTATAGCAGTATGTGAGTCAGTGTTAAGATAAAAAATCTCAAAGGATCTCCGAAGAATACATATGACAACTATACAGAGGAAACCCTGAATAAAACACAGCCTGTGTAGTATTAGCAGCTCAATACGCCATGTCATAACAGAAAACTGGCAGCGCCAATTCTCATTCGTAAACTGCATCCAAATTTCCATATTTATCTTTTGTGTTACCTGAGTTATCTTATTGGAGTTACTTTTTATCTGTTCTTGTTAAGTCTTGTTGTTATTGTTTTCCTTTTCATTTTGTTCCAAAGTCCCGTACTACAAAGCAGGATTTTGGCTTCTCCAGCCAAATCCAAGGTGGATCTTTTTAATGGGACATATCACTATAGTAACATTTGGCGCAGCCCTAACCGGCAGTTAATGAGGTTATATACCCGATTAGAGATCAAAGGGTGTGGAATCACCACGACTGCAGTGTTACAAACGCATTATAAGATCATCTGGACCTCTGTGTACGGGGAGTAGGAGGGCCGGAAGTTTTTGTTTTATTAAAAATATAGAACCTTAGCCGCTTCTTTACTCCCAATTTTTTTCCTTGTCAGCTGCAAAATAAGTCACTCCACTTTTTTATTGTTCTATAAGAGTTAATACATGATCCTAAAACAGGTACATGCTTATAATTTTTCAGATTCTCGTGTATCTTAATGATAGAGCTGTGATAACGATAAGCCTTTTACTTTCTACAGTCAGCATTTCTGCCAACTGTCCTTCCAGCCTTTAAACAGGTTCAATGTTATTAATATGGCAGCTCCCCCCCCCCCCCCCCCACTTTGATTTGATTCTGTATCATGTTCTTAACCTTTTCATATCCCTGTGTAGGATTGGTCACTTTGTTCCCAGTTCACTTCATATTTGTTATTGGTTCAATGCTGCCAGTGACACACTTTTGTCTTTACAAGTCCTTACATAGAGCTTTTCTACTCTTACTGAGCACTCTATATAACTTGCCTCGTTCACACAAGCACTGTCTTTGGAGATGCAAACTACCAGCCTTCTGATTAGTATATGACCCGCTCTACCTCCTTCCAATCTACCTTTATCAAGGTAGACTGACAAAGCCTGGGTTGATCACCAGCTTTGCCCGACCACTCGTCCTGATTTTCGATGTTGGGTAAAATGTCTGTGAAGGTTCTCAGTCATCCAGGTCATCGTAGTCAAAGGAGCTTGCAAAGAAAAGCGTCTGGACTTCTTTAAGTTACTTGAAGACGTTTCACCTCTCATCCGAGAAGCTTCTTCAGTTCTAAGGTCAAATGGTGGAGAGTCCCAGATATAACCTAGTGGGAGTGACCCCCCACAGAGGGACAAAAGGACCCCCTGATGATCCTCTAATCGCCTGACCCAGGTGTGAAACTGGGTGTGGGTCCCAATCAGCCAGAGTTTCGGGTGAGTTCATTGTGAAACCTGGCCCCACCTTATCATGCGAATTCCTGAGGTCAGATGGCCCAGGATGTGAGTGGGCGTTAAGGCGTCTGGGAAGGGATCTCAAAACTGGATTATAGATGGCAGAGAGTTGGTGTCGTAAACCCCCGGCTCTGTTCAAAGATGGTCGCTCACAGTGGACATAGATGGCTTCTTTCACTCCTCTTTCAAACCATCTGTCCTCTCTGTCCAAAATGTGAACATTGGCATCCTCGAAAGAGTGACCTTTGTCCTTAAGATGCAGATGGACTGCTGAGTCTTGTCCTGTGGAGGTGGCTCTTCTGTGTTGTGCCATGCGCTTGTGAAGTGGCTGTTTGGTCTCTCCAATGTAGAGGTCTGAGCATTCCTCGCTGCACTGTACAGCATACACCACATTGTTAAGTTTGTGTTTTGGCGTTTTGTCTTTCGGGTGAACCAGTTTCTGTCTGAGCGTGTTGCTGGATCTGAAATACACTGGGATGTCATGCTTGGAGAAAACTCTCCTGAGTTTCTCTGATACACCGGCTACATAGGGGATGACAATGTTGTTGCGTCTGTCCTTCTTATCCTCCCTCGCTGGTGTCTGGTCTTCTTTTCTGTGCCTCTTTGCTCACTTTAAGAACGCCCATTTAGGATAGCCGCACGTTTTGAGTGCTTCCTTTACATGTGCGTGTTCCTTCTTTTTTCCTTCAGGCTTAGAGGGAACACGTTCTGCCCGGTGGTGTAGGGTCCTAATTACTCCAAGTTTGTGTTCCAGAGGGTGATGGGAGTCGAACAGGAGGTACTGGTCCGTGTGTGTGGGCTTCTGGTAAACTTCGATGTTGAGTTTGCCGTTCTCTTCAATGTGCACGGCGCAGTCCAGGAAAGGCAAACAGTTGTCCTTTGTGTCTTCCCTGGTGAACTTGATGTTTTTATCCACAGCGTTGATGTGCGCAGTGAAGGATTCCACTTCTTGTGTCTTGATTTTGACCCAGGTGTCGTCCACATATCTGTACCAGTGGCTGGGTACTCTTCCTTTGAAAGAGCCAAGAGCCTTCCTTTCCACTTCCTCCATGTAAAGGTTGGCTACAATAGGTGACACGGGGGAGCCCATGGCACAGCCACGTTTTTGTCTGTAAAAGCCTTCGTTGTACTTGAAATATGTAGTGGTGAGGCAGAGGTCTAACAGTGTGCAGATCTGATCGGGTGTGAAGTTGGTCCTGTCCTCCAAGGAGCTGTCTTCTTGTAGTCGTTTTCTGACAGTCTCCACGGCCTCCATGGTGGGTATGCAAGTGAAGAGAGAGACTACATCAAAGGACACCATGGTTTCATCTGGATCCAGGGTAAGTTTCTGGACCTTGTCGGTGAAGTCGGTGGAGTTCTTGATGAGGTGTGGGGTGTTCCCCACGAGAGGCGCAAGGATGGTAGCAAGGTGTTTAGCAATGTTATAAGTGGCTGAGTTTATGCTACTGACTATGGGTCTGAGTGGGACAGCTTCCTTGTGGATTTTAGGAAGTCTGTAAATGCAGGATATGGCATCCCCTGGGTAAAGGCGGTGATATGTAAGGCGGTCAATAATTTTGTCCTTTTCAAAGTCTTGAAGGCAAGCTATAACTTTCTTTTTGTAGCTGCTTGTGGGGTCTCGCTTTAAGGCTTCGTAGGTATTGTTGTCACTGAGGAGAGTAGTGATCTTTGTATGGTAATCTGTAGTGTTTAGGACCACGGTGCATCTTCCCTTATCAGCTGGTAAAACAGTGATGTTGTGGTCTTTGCTCAGGGAAGCGACGGCCTTCTTTTCCTGTATTGTGAGGTTGGATGGAGGGACTTTGGCACTGGAGAGCGTGGCTGAGACTTTCATCCTGATTTGCTCTGCTTCTGTCTGTGATAATTTATTAATCCGTATGGCAGATTCTGTGGCTGTGATGAGGTCCACTATGGGCAACTGTTGTGGAGAAATGGCAAAATTGAGTCCTTTGGCTAATACTCTCTTTTCAGGTTCAGTGAGAATCCTGTCTGAAAAGTTCTTAACCCATTTCTCCTGACTGGCATCAGGTGTGTTTTCTTCTCTGGGTTGTGTAGGTTCAGGATGAGGAGTGTGTGTTTTTGAAAGCAAGGTGTGAAATTTCCTGCGTTGTCTTTCTTTTCCTTTAGAGCAGGGGTCACCAACACGGTGCCCGCGGGCACCAGGTCGCCCGCAAGGACCACATGAGTCGCCCGCGGGCCTGTTCTAAAAATAGCTCACCATAACAACTTACTAGTAAGCTGCATCTATTTTTATTTTTTCTTGCTATTTTTTTTAATCACAATTGCATTGGTGTTAATTTGTTAGAGATAATACATAAAAAAAAAAGTTTATTATTAAATATTAGATCATGATCTAATAGTTAGTGCTAGCTGGTCTTCAGTTGCCGTGAAGACCAGCAAAGGCAAAGGTGAGGAGATGAGGAAAACATGGCGGAAAAAAGGAAAAAAACATATAATTTTCACAGTGAATGGGAGGAAGAGTTCTTTTTTACCACTGTGAAAGATTCATGCGTGTGTCTCATTTGCGGGGCAACTGTGGCAACGGCAAAGCGGCACAACGTGGAGAGACATTTCCAAACGTGTCACACAAGCTACCATGCTAACTACCCAAAGGGCAGCACACTGCGAGCGGAAAAGGCCCGCGAATTAAAGGCAAGTTTGAGCAAACAGCAGTCTTTTTTCACGAGACCGGTGAAAAACTCTCAAAAAGCAACCGAAGCCTCATTTAGAGCTACACATTTCATGATTAAGAAAAAGAAGGCATTTTTAGACGGGGAGGTTTTCAAAGAAGCAATGATGATAATTGCAAAAACTGTGCTTAAAGACGAGAAATATGGAAACGATGTAATCTCCACTCTCTCTGATGTCCAGCTGGGGGCAACTACAATTGTTAGAAGAATGTCGGCTATGTCCGGGAACTTGGCCGATCGGTTGGATCAGGATCTGGCAAAGTGCAGTTGGTTTAGCATCCAGTGTGACGAGTCCGTCGACAGCAGCAGTACAGCACAGCTGATGGTCTTTATCCGGATGGTATTTGATTGTTTCTCCACAAAAGAAGAACTTCTGACACTACTGCCGCTAAAGACAACTACGAAGGGAGTTGACATCTATAACGCGGTGAAGGAGTTTTTCGCGAAGAAAAAGGCACCGTTGGAAAAGCTGGTATCAGTGACTACCGACGGGGCTCCTGCTATGATCGGCCGACATACGGGATTCATCGCTCACTGTAAAGGTGACACAGAGTTCCCGAACTTCATGCATTACCACTGCATCATTCACCAGCAGGCGTTATGCGCAAAGGTGATCGGCTTCGAGCACGTCATGACTCCCGTCGTGAAGATCATAAACAGCATCCGCTCCAGAGCTAAACAGCACAGAACATTCAAGGTGCTATTGGAGGAGCTGTCAGCTGAATATGGTGACCTGCTACTACATACGGAAATCCGATGGCTCAGCAGGGGACGGATTTTGCTTCGTTTTTTGTCACTTTTGGGTGAAATCAAGGAGTTCATGCAATCCAAAGGGGAAGACACATCTCTGCTGGAGGACACTGAGTGGACACTTGACCTTG